AATAATAATAATAATAATATATTAAGTTTTTACTGTAATATGCGCAGTTTCATTATTCGCATAGGACGATATTATTATAATATATAAACAGGTATAAATTATGTAATGGAATGTCGCAGTGTTTTGAAAAAAATTGTCTTATGAAGTGTACGTTTCAAAATAAGTTAAAAATTCGGTTTTGAGAAGTCAAGTCAAAATGTTAATATAGTATAATAATAGTTATAATATAAATATAAATTTTTTATAAGACATAAGAAATACCTAGCATAACATAAAAAAAACATAGAATACTTAATACCTAACATTAAACAAGTTATAATAATAGTTATAATATTTATACTCATATAAATATACATTTTATATAAAACATAAGATAATACCTAGCATAATATAAAAAAAAACATAGGATAATACCTTTTATAATATAAAAAAAGCATAGGATAATTTTTCATTTTGAAATGTTTATAATAGTTTTCTGCTATACTCTTTTCAGAATAAGAACGCACCAGATTTACGTAACAAAACCGGTTTTGTCCATGGCCGCCTGGTTCCTTCTTATTCTGAAAAGAGTATAGACAAAGAATTGTACCCTCTTCAGAGCAAAGCATTTTTAATTTTTCACCTTTTAGTACCCTATTTACATTTGCTGTAAAAGCAAACATCAATAAATTGAATGCAGCACTTATAAATAAATGTTTAGTATCATGATGTATACATATATTTGTCATTTTAAGTTTAGGATTAATGTTATTTAAAAAATATAATTTTATGTTTGGTTCTTTAAATATAAGATTAATAGTAGAGTTAAATTCACTTAAAATGTGTGCATATATTATGTTGGTTGAAATTATTGAAGGAGTTTGTAAAGAACAGTTATTGTATTGTCTAGCTTTTATAATTTGATCATTTCTGAATACGAGTTAACAGCCTATGTACTTCACTACGGTTTGCTAATAAACAAAGTCCTTATAATATTTTGTTGAACGTTGAACATTTTCGCTGAAGAAAAATGGATTTTTCTAAAGAATTGTTGGCAGGGATTTCACTTGCTTGTGTTGGTATAGCCGGAATGGCGTATTTATTTTCCAGACGAAACGATCCAACTTCAGATTATTGTGCAGAACAGAAATATATGTGTTGACCTATTGGTCCTTTATTAGTGGTATTGGCTATTAGGTATAGGTATATTTTGTTTTGTGAAAGTCATTATTCACTGGTAACACATAGGTAGGTAAATATATTTATTATTTACCACAAGTCCATATTTACACTTATGAGTTTGTAAATTTAAGTATTAGTAACAGTTGAAATTCACTAACTTTTAACTATTGTACATTTAACTATTAATCTGTAAGTTGTAACTAATATGAAATAATTACAAGTCACGCATTATATTATATTGGTAAATATCAACCTATATTAATAGTTCAATAATTTACATATCATAAAGATAAGTAAATTTCTATTGTGACCTACTGATAATTGTATACGCATCAAACGCGGTAGAAAGGGCGTTCTGCAGAGACATGCAAGTATGAAACGAATAATGACTTTAGAACAATCTAACGTACAGGGATCATAATATCGTGGTAGGTACTGAATACTGATAAACGGTTTTTATTTGATTTTCAGCATCATTTTGAATTGTGCAAAATACGTAGCATAGCGTTGGAGCGTCATATGACTGACTCGATTTATTCGATCCAGAGAATCCAGACATCCGTCATAGAGCAGCAATCCGATATGACAACAAAATTAAACCGTTTGAACGAGACCGTTGAAGGCTTGCTGCGAACTGCAGAGACTACTACGACTGTCGGAAGTAATATTATACAATACATCGACCTGACTATAACCTATAACCTAAACACATGACGCGGACCCGGGAACCGGCGTTTGAATTCAAACGTCGCATTCCCGCCGCGCCAGCTTTTACCAACCACCAGGTCACGGTAGGACGACACCGTCTATATATATATATATATATATATATAGCGAATTTCTATCGGCCGACAACGGCATTGGAACGCTGGAACCATAGACCTGTACAGTGTTATTCATAGTCATCGTCAAAAACCAAGGTTTAACCTAAGTTTGAATAAACTTGGTTTAATTCTTAGACCTTGGTTAAACTCGGGTTTAATAATGTATTATTCATAGTCAACATATTCAATGGTCTAGGCTAAGTTTTGAAAAACTGTGGATTATTTTTGGTTTATTATAAACAGCCATAGAGCCACCCAAATTTCCATATTATTACTAATTGTTGCCAATCTAAAAAAAAAAAAAAAATAAGGTAAAAATACATTCTATGTTCTATTATTTTAATGCGAACGTTACAGTTTTTCCAGGTGTTTTTTTTTCATGTCATTGTTATCGTTATATTTTATGAATTGTGGTAAAATATTTTTAGATTACCTATATGAATTTATTTTTAGTTTCGTGTTCTATTTTTGAGTTTATTAGTGGTATTTAATTATTTAAAATTATAATTTAAATTGCGTGATTCCATTTTAAAATGGATAAACAAAAAAGGGTTGATTGGGAAAGTGGAGAGAAAGAGCTACTAACTGAAATCGTCACACCATTTATCAAAGTGATTGAAAATAAAAATTGTGACACAAATACGAATAAGTCAAAACTAGAAGCGTGGTCACAAATTTATAAAGAATATAATGGTAATTCAAAAACTCAAAGAACATTACTACAAATAAAAGGCGAATGGAAAAGAATGAAAATAGTTGCCAAAAAAAATGTTTCGTCATATAAACAAAATTTAACACAAACTGGAGGAGGTCCTCCACCAGAATCAATAAACAAATTAGACATGACATTGCAGTCTTTAATGCCAATGGACTTTATTAAAGATGCAAACGATTTTGACTGTGACAATGACGGCTCAACTAAAAAGGTATAGTATTTATAATTTTTATAATAATTGTAATTATGAGTTTTTTGTATTTTTTTTCTGAGCTATTTATAGACATTTTAAATATTTTACTGTAATGTTGTTGTTAAAAAAAAAAGTAGTGATTGTAATAATAGTAGTGTTTTTAATAATATTATTGACTTTGTTATTCTTTTTAACTATGATTATTATTTTTTTTCTTATTTAGATTGGCATAAACAAAACTGTAACAAATGATTTCAAAATATTAGAAAAAGAGTCACCTGCATCATCGACAGCGACTTCAAATACCGGTATACAAATATGTACTGAAAGCTTAGATGAGTTTTTACAAAGAAATGATTTTGAAGATGTAAGCCAATTTTATGTTAATTTAAATTATTTATTTGTTAATAAGTTATATTTAAATTTAAAGCACATAATCATTGATCATGACGTATTGATACACGATGAAGACCTTCAAATATTTTTTATATGATTTAATTAAATATCACAAAAAATAATATCAAATATTTAATATATATATATAATAGTAATACTTTATATTATATATTATATTATAATTAATTGTTAAATCAATAGTGACGCACCATAGAACGATATAAATACGTATAAACGTATAAGTACTGAAATCATATGGGGGTACTGTTCTTAGTAAGTAGTAACATACCTTAATATTAGAATTTGTATTTGTATTAGGTACAAAAAAAAAAAAATCAAGGATTTAACGGAAATAATTTAGATATACAAATTACTGAATACGAAGCAAATTTATTAAAAATACAAAAAGAAAAGTTTGAATTAGAAAAAAAGTTTTTGACTATAGAACATCACCAGCGCTCTCTCATAAACGAAGCAAAATTGAAGTATTATGAATTAAAAACAAAACAGTTGGAGAACTTGAAACAGATTCAAGATTTAAACTGTTCTGATCAAATATAGGTATCAGATTACATTTTTAATTTCTCGTCATCTACTTATATTACGCAACAATTCTGTTATACCTATACATAATATACCTATATACTTTAATTATTATAAAATACTAAACATTATTCTTTATTATATTTATAACTATGTTATCAGTCAGTGGCGCCCAAGATATATTTTTCAGGTGTAGCAAGAAATAATTTTACCCGCCCCCTCACGAACTCAAAATTATATTATTTTATTCATACATTTTATCATATTTTAATTGATAATATTAGTAAATATTGAGGTATCAATCAATATAATCTGTGACTAATAATGAACATATTCCAAGTTAATTATTTTATGTTATTATACCTACCCACCCTTTATTTTCAAGGTATAGCGACCGCTACACCTAGTAATAGGGTTGGGCGCCACTGTTATCAGTTATTTAGATACCTATAAGTAATAAACATATATTAGATTCTGAGCGGAGCAAGGAAGCTAGTGGTTTTACAATGGTGTTTATTTTATTTTTTTTTTTTATTTTTTTATATCCTGTATAAAAAATTTCTACCAGAAGGAGTGCTTTGATTTCAACATATAGTACCTTATCTTTTAGCAAATTGGACCAAGATGGTACTTTAAAGAGGTCATTTTTCGATTTTCTCAATAGTTATTTAATGCCACGGGAAAAAGTACTGAAAAATTACGAAAAACCGCTTAAAATGGGATTTTAATTTCTAACAATTTGTTTATCACCGTAGCAACGAATAAAAAAAATAATAATTAAATAAATAAAATAATGAATGACAATATAAAATATACAGACTGACAAACCGTCTCCGTTCAGAATCGTTTTTCTTATACAATGATATTATATCATTGAATTCAAGTTTAATACAATTCATTAAACAATGACCAACTTGTAACCTACTGTACAGCTGAGCGACATCCACTTACCTGCCTTTTTATGTGATTTGTTTTTAAACTATTTATTTACGATTGTTACAAAAATATATTGTTAAATAATAAATATTAATATGATAATTATTAGGTACTATAAAATATATTATGAAATTTGTTTTTATTTACAAAAATTACAAGAATAAAAATAAAAAAGTTTTAACTAATAATAATATGATATGTAATCTACCTATAATATACATATTACATACGTTTAATAAAAAAACTGTCGTATGTACTGCGCTCTTGCTACATTACCTCTATTTTGGTTTATTTGTACAACATTATAATTGTCCTCATCTGCAGAACTATCACTTTCACTTTCTTCATTATAATCATCATCTTCACTACTATCTTCTGTGCTACTATTGTTGTTATCGTTAGGATTTATATTATTGATATTTAAGTGTTTTTTACAATGTAATTTCATGTTGTGTAACACTGATAATGCTACTATAGCAACAGTGGCGCCGAACTATTTTTTTTTTTAGGTGTGGCAATGAACAATTACTTATATAGCCACCTATATTGGCTATTAGAACTAAGTCGTGGGAGCAACCTTCGCCCCACCAATTTTTAATCTAAAAAATATTTTCACAAGTTATAATATTTACCGTATTATGTCTACAATATAGCATTATTTAATATTTTAACATATTACAGTTAAGATTATCTCCAGTAAAAGCCTCCTCAAAATGAAAATCAAGTTTTCATCATCTAAAAACGATATTCACAGTCACTGATTTAGTTATTTAAGCTTTTAGCTAGGTAGGTACATCATATCATTCAGTAATAAATAGAACTATTACATTTTTTTTCTTATACCCATGTAAATATATGTATATTATTTGGTTAATGGTTTGCATAATATTTTTTGAGTATAATGTACTATAGTAATACCTATATTAAATAAAAATATAAATAATTGCTTTAGTTTCAATTCCAATGTAATTTTCACCTGATTCTTATATATTCCTATACATATAATAGTATAATATTGGTAAATATAGGTAGCTATCTAGATGATATTATAAAGTTATATTTATATTACAATTTACAGCTATTTAAGTAACTCATTTTACTAATAGTAAAATATTGCATTATAAAACGTCTAATTTCGTCCAAGTTTCAACTTAAAATTTCTATAAAAAAACTGTGCTTATATATTTTTTAGATTTTTGGTAACAGTATTACCCACTCATGAGAAATCTCGTTTTAAATTTCCGATCTTTAGCTATAAAAATTGAGCATTTTATAAATTTTTAACCAAAATAACGTTCGCTGTATATTAACTAATTTTGTAAAAATCTGTACTTAAAATGCTTACAAAAAAAAATAATCGTACATAATGTATCTTCATTATTTAAAAATTGCTATTATAACAACTCTAAATAGGTCAAAAAAAGTAGAAATATTTTGAACATTTCATCATGTAGGTACGTTTAGACAGTTGTAATATTTTATCATAATCATTTGGTGAAAAATTGAAGTATCTATTTATAGTTGATTTTTGAATTACAACAAAATATAAAAAATCGTTTGAGGAGAAATTATTAACTTACTGTTGAATATCCATCTTAAAAAATTAATATCAAATGTTTAAGCGAAATGATTCCAGTGTTGGGAATAGCTCACTAAAATAATATCTAGATAAAGATTTTTAAAATAAAATATCTTAAAATGTTATCCAGTAATAAATTAAAATATATTATAACACAAATATTTGGTTACAAGAACACAAGACTACAAGAGAACTACAAGGACAGTTACTAGTCGCGTTGACTCGTTTGTATTTTGTTTTGATAATCTGATCCTAAAATTTAAACTCTGAAGTATATCAATATTTATATTATAATGGATACTGTCTGTATAATAGTAATAAAATTGGCATCGGGCATCAAGCGGTGGGATGTCAACCAACAACCACCAATAACCCACCACCGATAAATCATCCTACAAATTACAACAAATACATTTTATCACGACTTAAACTAGACGGTTATTTTTTTAATAATTTAAATATGTGTTCATTGCTATTGTCAATTTAGATTTAATTTGAGAAAAAAATATCAATTAATCTCAAATTATTATACTATTATACATTTTACTACATTTATAACGAATACTATTTAAATTTAAAGAAACATATAGTGTTTTTTTTTTTTTGAAATTGCTGACTAGCAGATAAAAAGATGCAAACACTATTTTCATCACGGCCAATTGAGAAGTCTTTGGGTAAATAACTATAGGAGGTTAAAGTATCATTGTTTTTAAGACTTCAAGCTACATTGTTATTAGCTAGTTTTTACTGTGGACAATATTCCACACCATTATTTTTAACTTGCAATTCACTATATGTCATGCGAGAAGCTCAAAAATAAATCATAAAATGAACTTCGTTTTTTTGACACTCCATTCGGTTTGTGTGGCGGCTACGGTTGGTACGCGTTTTTCATGTGAGGCAGATAGATCGCCGCAAAGAACCCTGGTGGTCACCCATCTGGGAGCCTGCTCGACCTCTGCACACATTATATTAGTGACTGCGTCCAATCACCGCGATTCACCAGGTCACCATTCAATGAACTCTAATACCATCCACGTTAAATTGTATATTATTATTATATGTTTATATTATATTTACCAGTTTAAATTCTTGCAAATGTATTATATTTTATAACATTTGACATGTCAACAAATTGTATACAATATTACAATCCTTAATATAGCAATAGTACTGAGTAGTAAAATACAGTAGTAGTATATACAGATTAGTGTAGATTTAATAATTTGTTGATCGTTGCCACATCGATAAAATCAAATATTAAAATTACTTGACCGTCATATTTAACAGGTGATTTTGAAAGGCTTTAATATAGATACTTGTATATTTTAGAAAATTAAGGTTTCGGAAATATAGTTAAAATATATTAGACTAGGTACGTTATGTTATTTGGTATTAGCAAGACTTAAACAGTTAACCTAACTATTAATTAATCATAGAAATAATAAACTAGTTATAGGATCAATGGATCATAGTCAAATATAATTTTAATGTAAACATTCAAATTAATAATTATGTATATTCGTATAACGTATCTAGTATACAGAGTGTGACAGTATAAATGAAAAAAAAAGAAAATTAAATATGTCCATTTATGTTCAGTTATTACCTAATAATGAAATGTGTACCGGTTATTAGGTATTTTTTCAAAAATGATAAATTACAATTATAAGACCTCCTTTTCGGTTTTTTTTTAAAATTGTGGTCGTTAAATAATTTTTTTTGCTGAATCTAAATCTTGAAAATTTACCCATACCAAAAGTTCAAAATGAATGAACATATAAAGATTAAAGGCATACATTTTTTCATAAGCATTTTAAATTCAAATTTTGACAAAATCCATCATAATCGCTCAAACATAATCAAATTATTTTGTATTTAAAAATGTATATAATGTTCAACTTTTATAGATAAGAACTAAAAGTTCAAAACAAGGTTAAAATATATTTTATAAATATAAGTTATACCTATCAATTTAACTATTGCAAATAATAGGTAACAACTAGGCAACAAAAAAAAGCGGTAAAACAGAAATATTTACACAATACCAGTTTTTAATTAAATTTACCTTCATATTTTTGTTGTAATTAAAATCATAATCAAATACTTAAAGTACCTACATAAATTTTTTATAGACCTGATATTATAATGTCTAAAATATTTTAAATTTTTTAGAGTCTGCATTGGTACCTATAAATAATTACCTTATTTTAAATAATTATTTATAAGTAATATTAACGCAGGTAAAACAGAAACTAACTGCAACTATAACTTAGCATAACTACGACCTGCAGCCACATCTTAATTGGTTGACGAAATCACTTCACATGTGAAACTTAGTGTGCTAACTGCTAAGTACTGTGTTAGACTGTTGACAGCTATTTTAAGTCGAGGAAAAATAATTAAATTAATTGAAAACATTACTTTACTTTAAACACTATAAATAAATACCAAAATTCAAAAAAGTTAAAGACTTATTGGATACAATTATTAAAACAATATTCACTGTCGAAATATTACAATATAAATAATCTAAATCTATTCGATTAAACATTCACACAGTGTATAATAATAATCGTTGTCAACAATAAACAATATACTATAGTCACCAGCTTCCTATTATAATAATAATAATAATATTTGTAGCCAGCAGTTAACCTAACCTAACCTATTATTATATAACACATAATATTATATTTATTTTGTATGTACTAGCCACCACAGCATAATATTATCAATTTTTTGTACGACAGAGTTTTTTTTTTTTATTGATCTTAAATTCATCGACATCTAGGTCATTATGCGTCATAATAATATAATAATAATTATAAATATAAATATATAACGTCACTGAAGTTATTGACAATAGTAGGTAATAGGTATTGGGTATATTATGTGGAAAGGGCAGAAAATGAGTTATTTCAGTCGTAGGCGACGCACAGTGGTCTGAAATCGAATTTTAGGCGAAATAAAGTGAAAGAAAATTGTTTGCTCGTCATGCAGGGAGGTTATAATATGAATATATTATATAATTATAATATAATATACATATAAGATGTTGCCCACGATGTAGATAACCTAAAGTTTATGTTTTGTAAGGACCGTGGCATATAGTTTTCAGTGTTGCCCCAATTACTTATTCGAGAGGGGGTAACATTTATTTTACCCCCAATGATTTTTTGACATCATACAGCATACATTTTATACATACATTTATCTAGTTAAGTCTCAACACAAATTAATGTGACTTTCTGGTAAGGTTTTCTTTTAACTTTTCTTTGGTAGACAGTCAAAATTTTTTTAATTTTCTTAATTTTAAATGAATTTTGTTTAAGTTTCAACTTTAGACCCATATTGAAAATAATATATTGTGGATCTGTGTTCAACTTGACCGAGAGAGAAAATTATTTATCGATGATAATTAAAAATAAAAATGTTTAATGCTCAAAAAGAGTCTATATATTTTGAATATCTTGTAGGAAATATCTTTCAGGAAAATTCTTATATATTATATAAAAATTTGTTAAAATATAAAGTTTTTACGGTTAGTCATTTTTGAGTTACAACAGAAAAACACAATCGATTTTGTCGAAAACTGGTTTTGTATAAAAATTATTTTTATATTTGTTAATTTTTTTTTTTTGTTTTTCACGACGCTTTTGAAAATAACTGGGAACTTTTTTACTTTTGATTTTTGACTCAACAAAGTATCAACTTGATTCACTTCCCTATCAGACAAGATGCTGAAGTAGAAATTTGAAAATAGAATTTATGTTTTAATGGTAAAACTATTAATTAAATTATTAGTTATTGGCTATTTCTAATGTTATCACACAGTACACACTGCACGCTGCGACACACTAGGAAGT